TTGCTCCTCCAAACATGGTATGGACACCGTCTACGGGCATTGCTGGAGAATGTTGTTGCTCCTCCAAACATGGTATGGACGCCATCTACAGGCATTGCTGGAGAATGGATTAGAAACGCAGAGGAGAAAACACATTTAGCAAGCTTTGGTAAATTGCCCAGAATATGCAGGTACTAGGATGGGAAATTCTCACCCCAAATGAGACTGTTTTCAGAAGAAAAGAGAGATGCTGGGCAAACAAAACAAAGGCCGTCCACCACAACCATAGAGTGTTCATACAACAGAATTCTGTGGACCATCTGCCCTGCCCTGTGGTCAAGGGCCATGAACACAAATGTCTGCAAGGCCTGTGAGTGAACCCATGTCTTAGTTTTCTATTGGTGCTGAGCAGATAGATGATCATGCAATCAATGGTTTAAAAACAGCATATTTTAACCGGGTGTGGTGGCAAGGAATTTGCTGGGAGAGTTGCAAGTCCAGGCCAGGAGGATGTTTTCAGGAAACCTGGAAATGCTGGTTATGGGGAGGGGCTATCACCAGTGTTCTCTGCTGTCCAGGTGCTCCTTAAGAGCCCCCCTGTCATAGTCCTGGGTGCAAACCCATAGCTGCTAGTGCCCACACATTTGCCACTTGCTCTGCTTCTATCTCAGTGTCACAACTGTGCTTCGAGTATGAACTGGACACTAAGCTCTCGGTGACCCCAGGCAAGTCTCTTTCCCTTTTAGGGTCTTAGTTTTCTTAATTTGAAAATGGGGTGCAGAAGGATTAAAGAAGGAAGTCAGGCAGAGAGAACTGAGTTCATGGCAGACCCAGGCTGCTTTTGTTCGACAGCATTCAGATTTTGGTCGTATGCACAGAGTAAAAGTTTCACTTAGGGGTTGAGACTATATCCATACATGGGTTGATTTTTTTAAAGGCATCTTTTTATTTTAAAATGCCCAGTCCTTGCAAACTCCTCAGTATCTTAGCCCAGTTGTTCATACTCACTCTGATACAGAGAATGATGGTGTTTGTTCAGTGTGGAATAAACGATGGAACTCGCATGCCTCTTTTGTTTGAAATCTACCCCATCTGCTCATGAGTCTCAGAGGTGGACTCTTCAGTAACTTCCTAGACAAATAAGGCTCTAAAACTCTGAAGAGTAGAAATTGTTCCTCTCCCTGCACCAGCCCTGTGTAAACACACCCCTGGATGACCCTCCCTGGAGAAATGACCTGACTGAGGTTTGTGTTAGTTCATTCTTTTCCCATTAATCCTCTCATCCAAACATCCACAGTGGCTTGAGACCCAGTATTTGTTGCAGAGGCCCAGGCTTTTTTTTTTTTTTTTTTAATATGTATGTATCTGTGTGTGTGTCAAGTGTGTGCAGGTGCCTGAGGAGGCCAGATGAAGGCACTGGATCCCTTGGATCCGGAATGACGGCTATAAGCCTACAGAAGTAGATGCTGGGAACCAAACTCTGGTCCTCTAGAAGAGCAGCAAGAGCTCTTAACCACTGAGCCATCCCTCCGTCCAGCCCCTTCCCTGCTTTTTAAATTGAATCCAGAACATCCCTGAAAAACAGTCAGCCCTCTGCAAAACTGGTACACGTTTTTCCTCAGCCAGTGCGAGGCCATCATCTCCAAATTAGAGGCTGAAAGATTGACTGGATTACCATCTGACCATTACGAGAAACCTGAGATTTCTGATTATGTTCTGCTAGGAATTGCTGTCCAAATCTACTTCCTGCCCTCTTTCCTCTTCTGATTAGTAATGCTACTGAATCATTGTGGTGTTTTGCTTTTGCACATTTTTACACATTTAACTACTTTTATTGAGTTTCATTTTAATTTTGATCTTGAAGTCTTTCACCTTTAGTTCTCACTATATAAATTTAAATCTTCTAATACATTTTTGAGGAAAAAATTATTTTTGAAATTTTTTTAATGCTTTTACAATAGGACTTCTTTGGTGAATTCTGATGTTGGCCAGTTTCTGAAGTGTCTGGGGTAGATATGAAGAATGGAGTTTAGATACAAAGCATTCGTAGGAGAAATTATGATGCACTTATAGAATCCCCAGAGAGCACTTATGCCAGTGCCTTTCCTAGACTGACTGTACATCCGAACATCAGATGTAAAACAATCCTGTGCTCTCCCCTACACCTCACAACTTAGACTCTCTGAAGGTAAGCCGTGGAGATGATTTATTCCATATCCTCATGCAATTCTGATTCACAGCTCAGTTCGGGAGACACTGGGCTAGTTAAAACTTCTTAGGTATTTCCTTCTGCAAGATTCTGCCAAATAAATATCTACCTGTCTATACCTCCTGAGTCTCCTCCAATGAGGAGGATTTGCTCTTTTAAGGCAGCTCTTCCCATCCTTAGCCAGTTCAGTTTGTTGGTGGTGGTGGTGGTGGTTTTGGAGGGAGGTTTGTTTGCTTGTGTTTTGTTTTTTTCTCTCAGTGCTGGATGAGGCCAAGCAGAAAGATGGGAAAATTAAAGGAACATAATGGGAAAGGGGAGAAGCCCTTCCCTAGAACTAGTTTCCTGCTGGCTGACAGTCAAGAAACTCTACAACTCAACTGATAAAACCCAGATTGCCTATGGAGATAGTGCTCATGTTCCTAGAGACACCTCAGACAGGATGTCCAAAACAACCAGTGAACTCTGCCGACTCAGGGCTAGCATGTTTATAGCCTTGGGTTTAATGTATTAACACTCCTTTCTCATCTTTAAGTCTAAACAAAACCCCTCATAAAAACACCTTACAATTTTATTCGCAGGAAGTGATTAAGATGTGATTTAAAAAAAGTAGACAAGATCATATGTTTTTACTTAATTTTTTTTCTTTCTTTTTGTTTTTTTTTTTGTTTTTTTTTTTTTTTTTTTTTGAGACAGGGTCCCCCCAGCTGTCCTGGAACTCCCTATGTAGACCAGGCTGGCCTTGAACTCACGGAGATCCTCCTGCCTCTGCCTCCTCCCAAGTGCTGGGATTATAGGCATGTGCCACCACGCCCAGCTTGTCTTTACTTAATTTTTAAACTACTTAATTTTGAAACTTTGCTTGGTCTTTAAACCTTGTTGTAAATTATATCCTTTGAACAATGTCACTTAGAAAACCACAGAAGCACATCTATCACTATCATCTATCTATCTATCTATCTATCTATCTATCTATCTATCTATCTATCTATCATCTATCTATCATCTATCATCTATCTATCTATATCCATCATCCATCCATCTATGGCTATTATAAAGACTCTCTTAAGAAGCCTGCATCCACACTTGGATGTGTTCTGTCCTTTTCCTATGTGTCTTTCTCTCTCTGAATGCCAGCACTTAGATGTAAAGCATATCCCCTATCTCCACTGAAATTCTGCAGCACAGTTATGCCTCTGGCTTTAGCTGAGTGGGAGTCCCTAAGGAGGTAAATTCTTTATGCTGCTGGGGGCAGTGCTCGGCTGTGTCTCCCCACTACCACTGACACTGGGAGTCAAACTCATGTCTCACATGCTAGGTAGACACTCTTCCACTGAGCCACAAGTCCAGTCCCAGCTCTGTTTTGCCAGGAAATTTTTCCTCTGTTGCTTAGTCCCTTCCCCTCACTGGTTTATCTTTGCCTCCAGGGACTCCACAGATCCTGTCTAGTCTTGATTTCAGAAACTTAGAGGGTATGCTTTGTTTCCTGAGTTCTAAAGAGTGAATACTCCCGTTCCTTCCATCAACAGGATCTCACACTTCCACTTCCCCCAGGCTCCCTGCTCCTTGTGACCTCCATCAAAAGAATCCAGCAGAGACACAGTGCAGTAGGGTTTACAGAGTAATAGGGAGAGGGGGCAATGGCCAAAGAGGCCATGGCAGAGCAGAACACTCCCAAGGGGTCAGAGTTGACAGTGGCCAATGAGCAGGTAGTGCTGATCTACACTCCAGGTGGACGTCATACTATTTCTAAAGTCTTTAGAGCAGGCAGCTTTTCCTGAGGGAGGTTTTCCTGTCCAATCGGTTGACAAGTCCATCTGGAGTCACTCTTAAGGGAGGGGACAATGGTGTGTGTGTGTGTGTGTGTGTGTGTGTGTGTGTGTGTGTGTGTGTGTGTGGCGCGCGTCTTTAGCAAACAGCCTGCAACCTGAAGCGTTAGATAGGAATCTAGTAATGACCTTCCAGGCAGGTCAGAGTGTCATTTGTTGACTCAGGGCCAGAGGTATGACCTGGGTCCCACTCTTTTGACCAGTAATCAAAGTCCTGCAGTCTACAAGCTGCTGATTATGAAGGAGGGGTTCATCCCTAGTGACCTGCAAACCTGCTGATTTCTAACCCGCTATCTAACACTTTCACTGCACTTAACAGCCTTTCCACACGGGGATAGCTTCCAATGTAGTCCGTCCTCTTGACTGAATTTGGATTGTTTTTAAAATGCATCTTATTTTAAAATACCCAATCTCTGCAAATCCTTCAGTGCCTTAGCCCAGTCACCCACACTCAGTTCAAACTCGGAGAGTGATGCCAGTGTAAAATAAACAATGTAGTTCATATGTCTGGGGCTGGGGGTGTATCTAATTTGTTCATGATTCTCAGAGCTGGAATCTTCAGAAACATCCCAGTCATATAAAGCTTTAATGTGTTGACGAACGGGCGTTCTACCAGCAAGGCCTGTCAATCATTCATTTAAGGCGGGTTCTCCAGGATGGAGGCAGGCTGTGTGCCTGGGAAAACCCTTGCCCCTCCATCTCTCCGTCTCTCTTTCGTTTATCAAACGGGAGTTCCTGGGATCTCAGACTTGAGTGGAGTGACTGCCTATCCAGTGACCAGACCAGAGGTGGCTGGGGCGGTGCTGGGGGAGGGGGCGCGGGGTGG